TTGAAGGCCAAAACATTTTATTTTAATAGATTTTAAAGGAAAAAGAGAAGTACAAACATGTTTTAAAGATACATCCGGAAACCATTTATTTAGCACAGACTGCTCCAGACTCTGCTGGAATTGAGAACACAGCCATAGTGTCAGACTTCAGGGAGCACAGGACAATCAAGTGACAGCCCATAAATGCACTATTGCACACAGAGAAACAGAGCTTATAAAATGGCATATGCTCTGTGCTTCTTTCTAAATTAAAAGCAACATCCTCAGAGGAGTAATTTTGAAAAAAACTACACACACACACACACACAAATATATATATATCTTTATTGGACTCATTATATATTTTTTCAATAAAGAAATTTATATGTATTTTTTCCAATCAAGAAAAAACAAAAGAAATGAAGACCTTCAGTACTTTAGATAATTCTGTGAAAGTTAAGAACAAACAAGCCATTATATTCCATTCTTCTTTCTCAATTTTTTTTTTACAGAGAGAACTTTTTTTTCTTCTGGTTTAGGAGAGGGTAATTGAATTTTAAATACCTTTTTCTGCCAGCCTTAAAATCATATCTACCTATGAGAAAATGATTGTCCAATAATGAAAAAGAGAAAGAAAAAAGAAATCAGTCAAAACTTTAAGGAAATAAAGGTTTAGATTTTTTTTTTTTTTAAGTTTTTGGCTGCACCCCACGGCATGTGGGATCTTAGTTCCCCAACCAGGGATTGAACCCACGTCTCCTGCGTTGGAAGGCAAAGTCTTAATCACTGGACCACCGGGGAAGTCCCTAGATTTTTGTTTGATAAACACCGTGTTCCATCTTGATTAATTGACTTTTTATTTTCCCTTATTAAAAAACTTTTCTGATTATTACATATAGCTTAATTGTCCTAAAATAATGTCATTATTGCAGTCTTCCCATGAGGGATTGCAGTGTGTTTAACAGACATGGTTGGAGAGGAAAAGGAACTCCACTTATTTCTCAGCCTGGATTTCTGCTCACATTCAAGAATCCCTCTGCTTACCTGGCCACCTTCAACTTGTAAATCCACAGATTTTGATATGGAGATGAGAACTGTGGAGTTTTCAATTGTGTAAAGTGGGAACACAGCCCATTGACATCATGCCCAAGATGGTCAGTACATGGTAGCCATCAGACAAGGGTTCTTGAAGGAAGAGCTTTATGTGGCCATCTCTGCGTGTCAGGAAATTCAAGTGTGAAAAGATTGCAAAGAGATCTCATTGGCATTTACACAGGTCAACCATGGCTGGTAGAGGCAGCATCAGGAGAAAGGTGTGTTTACCCTCGTTAACCCTAAAGGACACAGACCTTGAGTCTTGAGAGAACTAGAGATTCAAACTTATTAGTAAGATTAAGATAACCTAGTAAAGTGAACATCTAGATTTCTCCCGACTAATTGGGGTTATATGTGAATGTATCTGAGCAAAAGTAAATTTTAATAATAATTATCCCTAGTTGTTCCACAGCACTCTCTTAGTCTTAGGATATACCATTCAGTATTTCCCTAGGGAACTCTAAAGCTGTCCTCATTTTCTATATGCGTATATATACACACACTATAAATAATTTATGTTATATATATAAAACATATATTTAAGTTGAAGTGTACAGTTTTTGACTGTAAAATAAAGAAAACAAACTAGACACTTCAGCTAATGAAATATGCAATTAAGAAATTTTATGATGGGCCTAATCAACTGAGTTCATATAGCTCATGTTTCAGAGCAAGAAATTAGTTTCCCTGTGTTTGAAACCTGGTCCTATGAATTAATAACTGTGCAACCTTGCCAACGTGCCTGAATTCCTCTGAGCTTCAATTCTTATCAGCTATAAAATAGGATAATAAATAATACTGGACACATAGAGTTGCTTTGAGGATTAAATAATGTAACACATGAAAAGCACTTAGAACTCTGCCTGTGAAAAAGTAGCGTTTCGTAAATGTTAGCTGTTATTATTTCAATGTGCTTACTTTATAAAGTGCTTCTCATGACATAATGGTATGTCAGTACAATTAAGAGTTTTGCAGTTGTACATTTTGATAGAGCATAATTCCTGGTGCAGAGTTGGCATTCGATAATTTTGCTACATATGGGTGAAAAAATGACTAAAGTATGCATGTGAAATATAACAATTATTAATATTATAAATTAAAATATGTTAACTAATATATCTTTTTGAAGACATTTCAATAGTTCAGGCTATTTTAATATATACTGACATATCTAGAATTTTAGTAAAAATACATGAGTTTGCATTTGACATTAATTTTCCATCTTCAATCTTATTTTAAAATTTTGTGCATTCAATTTTTCAGAATTTGAAAAAAATAACAATTTTACCACTGTTCAGTGTATTATGAATCTTAATCCCTAATATGTTTTTCCCATGGTCTCACCACTTGGATAATTAAGTCTAAAACAGATAGAAACTTTAAAGCTCATACTACACAATGTGTTTTTTTCTTAGTGTACCTACTACAGGAATAGCCATGAATTCTAAAGTAGCAACCAGAGTTGGCTGTTAACTTAAAAGTGGTCATATTCATTCTTCTTATGTCATTAATTTAAAGAATCAAAATCATAAAGTATAAAGGGACATAATTTGCTAAAATAGTTTTGAATTTTGTTATAAAATATTTTAAACTTACTGAAAATTATAGATAATACTGTCACAAATACTTGTGTTCTTGCTATCCAATTTTATCAAATCGTAACATTTTGCTATATTGGCTTCAGATTTTTTTTAATAAAAAATATATTACAAGTACCCCTGAAGTCCTCTGAAACCATTCCCCTGTCCTCCTGAGACAACCACATAATAGAGTTTAACATCTATAATTCCCAAGCTGTCATATGATATTAATGTTTGTCATACATATATACAAGTAGACATAAATAATTTACAGTATTATTTCATGTAATTTTAACTTTATATCATGATAACTTACCATAGGTTTTCTTCTGCAAATTATTTGCTCAAGATTTTTTTTAAGATTTATCTGTCTTGATAAATGAAGGTATATTTCATTTAATTTAACTGCTGCTTAAATTTAATTGAATAAATATAATGTATTTATTTATTATATTATTAACACACTATTAGAAACACTGTTGCAATGAATGTTCTTTAACAAATTCCTTTTGTACGTGTGGGAGAATTTCTCTAAAGTAGAAGTGGAATTAAGTCAAAGTGGAATTTTCTGGGTACTTGAGTGCATAAACTTCACTAGACATAGACAAATTTACCTAAAAAGTATATGTACAAATGTATACTTTCTGTTCACAGTCTATGAAAGTTCCTGTGTCTTTGAATCATTGCCTATACATTTCCCCAGAATTATTTGCACTTTGTGCTGAATGAAAAAATTGTCACATCCTACTCTCTTTTTTTGTACTTTCAGATAGGTTGGTTACAAATGAGAATAGTGCTGCTTCATTTCTTAAATTGGATTCAGTTCACAGTGGCTGAAATGTGAGGTCTTAGGAGACGTGAGCTCAGTGGTTCTCAGTGGTTCTCAATCTTGGCAATACTTTAGATTTACCTAGATCATTTTTAAAATTCTGATGCTCAAGCCTCACCCCAGACCTGTTAAATAAGACTCTCCTTGTGGGTGAAGGGCAGGGGGATGTGGGTGCCATGCTAGTTGCCCCACCTACCACCCTGGGAACTCAGATCCCAAAGTGATCCTAATATGCAGTCAACGTTGGAAATTATTGCCCTTGTATATGTCTGATAAGAAAGAGAATAAAGCCAGAGGGAGAAAAAAAGATACTTGGCTGTAGACCCATCTCTAAAAGTGAGTGGTGAACTGGAGCTTGATTCTTTAGTTTTATCTAGGATAGTTTTATCTAGGATGAATAAGTAAGTTAGCATCTGGGGAACAATAGTAGGTAATCCAGAATTTGGCAGTGCTTGAGACCAGGAATATAACAAGAGTTAGTCTGCTGACAGCAGTTGGGAATAGAACTACAGATCCAGGGTCAGGATGCAGTACCTTTAGGATAAGGCAGTTTATGAAGTCCAGGCACGTGAATGGACCCCAAACAAATAGGTTTGTTTTCTAGGCAGAAAATTTGGAAAAAGCCAGTGAGTGTTAGAGAAAAGCTTTGTCTATGTGGGCACCATTGGCTCATAGCAAATAGCAATAATTCCAACCCCATTAGCTGGTTGATGCCAGTTATAAATGTTTTGTCAGACTTAATTAGAATAAGTTTTGAAAGTAAGTTATGCTTAAACGTGTAAGATATAAGCTTCTAACTGGTGATCAGAGGGTATGGAAGAGTCAAGGATAAACTGAAATGCCCCAAGTTATAATGCATGAGGAAAAATTTTGATTTGGTTCATCATTTGTAACATAAGCTATTGACATAAACCAAGAATTTGTATTTAATTAAGATTGTTTCATAACTAGATTAAGTATTCTACTTTACCAAGAGTGTCAAAATCTACTATAAATATAAGGTAACAAATGTTCATGGAATCTCACCTATAGCAACAGCCGTTTTTCATCCTTTCCTCAGTCAGTACAGTTATTTCAGCTTTTTACAGAAAAAAATGAATTGAAAGACCATTTGGCTTTGCTGACATGATCAGTTGCAAAACTATTGGAAAGTTAAATACCCAATTATTATTTATGGGACAAGAAGATATTGATGTTACTGTATAGTTCATGTAATTATCTCACACATTCAGGAGAGATTAAGATTTCTAAAATTGTATTCTAGTTAGAACACCTAAAAGCTTTTCTTTAAAAAAAAAAATACCTTAGGGAAAATAAAACTAAAGGCATCCAAGATATTTTTGAATTGTCATTGTGCATTCAACTTAAAATACAGTTTAAGACATGAGGATGATGAGATGATTACGTAGTGATTCAAAACAAAATACCTTTAAAAGTCTGCATGCCCTTCAGGTTGACTATGAAGTCATGGGTCAAGGTAAATAATCAGGGTAATTCTTTCTCTTTTTCCAATTCAGTGCTGAGTACAAGAGAAGGACTAAATATGTTCAGAAAAGTCTTAATCCTGAGTGGAATCAAACAGTAATTTATAAAAGTATCTCCATGGAACAGGTATGCAATGATTATTTTCTATATGACAGATTCAGGCTAATATAAAAATAGTGATGATAGAATTACTGAAAGATTGTGATTCATATCAATTTTTCCATACAAACAAAAAAAATTAAGTAAAATACATGCAAGAAATATAGCCAGTAAAAGGAACTGGGTGCAGTTCGAAGATACAGTGAAAGAAAATGTGCACATTTTCACAAAACAGCTAAAAAATAAAATGAATAAGACTAGTGGGACATTTTCCACTGATTATTTCAAAATCAAATATTTCAATAGACTGGGCTCTATTTATCATATTTTGAGGGAAAATATTTTCCAGCTAGCTGTATTTTGACTTTCATAAACAAAGAAAAAATAAGATTCAGATGCACTGAAATGAATTACCCCTCCTGGCAACAATTTAGGGATCATCTCTTTTCTAAATTGAGGCTTCCTACGGATCTGGCATTGTGCAACTAAACCGTACAGAAGAAAGCGTGAAGAAGACTAGTGTAAAGGATTATCACAACAAATAGATGACTCTAAGCAAAATTGCATCAATGTGTTTCTGAAAATCTTCATGTCATAACTTTGTATCAATAATAGAAAATAACTGATGGTTTATAAAGATGAATTCAGAGAGAAAAGAATACAAATAGAATAGGAAGAAGACATCCGTGAAAACAATTTACAAATGAGTTGTCTTTCAAAATGAGGTTTCTCATTTATCCTTTGGAAGATTTCTAATTTGACTATGAAATTGAAGCTGGATATAAATTGTAATCTGGGTTCTTGAGTTTAAAATAAGTTACGTTCACCTGCAGAAATAAGACAGTGCTACTAATGTGTTTTGGCAATTTACTGAAACAAAAAACTATAACCCAAATACTTTGAATAACCTAGACATTTTTGCAACCTATGAATTTCATGTATTTAAAGAGTATATATAGATTCTGCTTGGTACTTTTAATAATGGGCAGGGGTAGAGTAACAGGAAATAAGTAAAAATCACCCTTTTTTTTGCAAAATAGTGAGGTATCTTATGATCAAATACTTGGTTGGACCACAAAATGATTGACAGTTTACATAATATTGAATGTAAGTATACAGTTTTATATAAACTTAAAGTATTTTTACATAAGCGGAAAGAGTTCAAGGAATGAAAATATAAATGAGTCTATTATATGAGTATAATGAAAATTTATGATGAGAAACGAGGTTAATGACATTTTGATTTGAACTGTAGCTCAAGAAGAAAACACTGGAGGTGACAGTCTGGGATTATGATAGATTTTCTTCCAATGATTTTCTTGGTGAGGTGAGCCTATGGTTTCCTTTTTTTTATTTGCTTCATTATAAACCATCAATTAAATCTTTATGGAAAGCATATTTCTAAAGTGTATAAGATAACTATTTCTGGATAAAATTCTTTGGTGGATAGAATTTATTTACAAATGACTCTGAATAGATGAATAGCAACTGGAGAAATAATTTTCACTTTACCACTTGATGTACTTTCTAATTAATTTGCAAGATGAAATATTAATTGTTTTGATAGAAAGTTATATAATCATGCTGTGAATCCAAATGATTATGTAAAAGATTGGAGATAAATTTATTGTATTATAAAATGAGCTGGATTTTTTTCAAATGCATTTTCAGTTTATTTAATTGCTATTCCTCATTGCACGTATGAATGACTTGATGTGACATTTTACATACTTCATTTAAGTGTCCCACAAAACATCTCAAAATATTTTAAGAAGCAAAACTAGAAGTAGGAGAAAACAGTAAAAACAATTTTTATAAATTCACAAGGAATGTAACCTAATTATGAAATGTGGCAGGATGGTCAGATTCTGTGATATTTTTCATCTATCATATTCCAAAAATACATATTTTGTTTAGTGATCTTTGCTTAAAGCAGAAGTTATGAATTAATGTTAAAAAAATAAATCTCCAAAAATATATAACACCTAGAAAATACAATATCCTTTTGATAGAGACAATAGAAGACAGTTGAGTAGTCTAGGTGACATGATGTCTTGTTTGGCTCCTACACTCTGTACCTTTTTCCCATCAAAACTAGATCATTTGAACTTCACCTACAGTCTCCATGTGGTATAGCCACTTGGACTAATCTTGGTCTTAGGACTACTCTAGAGTACGGTTATATCTGATTTATTGTCCTATTTCAAAAAGCTGATTTATTGATGTCCTTATAATTTATTGTTCACATGAACCTAAAGCATATATCCATTGTGTGGTTTTATTTTTTAATATCTGCTCAAATATAAGATGCCAACTACTGTAAAATGCACCATTGTTTATGTACCACTAAGAAAAAATGTTGCCAATTAAACCATGACACAGCACTTTCTTATTGTAAACTGTTGGTAATCTCTCTGTTTCAAATGTGAACTAAAGTATGTTTTAAAATAGAGGGAATAAGTTAGTAATTGAAAATTAGCCATTCTTTTTCATTTTGTCCCTCTTGTAACTAAAATCAAACAATCTGCAAAAAAACACTAGCCCAGTTTAAGAATATCATGTGTCCATTTAACAAAAGAAGACTTTATTTCATAAAGAGATTGACTTGTGACTCTACCTTTTTGCATCATCTCCAAATAATTTAATTAATAGTCAGAGATGTCATACAGTTCAAGTTAACCAAACGTTTATACAGCATCTGGTATGCACAAGACATACTCAGTATCATGGGTGAAGAAAAATGAGGAAGACCTCATCATCCTAAAGGTTATACTATATCCTTTGACTTATGTCCTTGAATAAGATTCAGATCACAGAAAAAAAACAACAAACGAATTACAGCTTAATCCATAAATTTTATTCACTTATTGCACTTTTTTCCAGGTATTGATTGATTTATCTAGCACATCTCACCTCGATAACACGCCTAGGTGGTATCCTCTCAAAGAACAGACTGAAAGCATTGATCATGGCAAGTCCCATTCCAGTCAAAGCAGCCAGCAGTCCCCAAAGCCGTCTGTCATCAAAAGCAGAAGCCATGGTATCTTCCCTGACCCATCCAAGGGTAGGAGATATTTCAAGTAGAAAAAAGCTTTTGTCTTTTTGTTCACTCAGTATATTCTTGAATATGAGTGCCTGTATATTTAATATCTTTTGAAAGGTATTATATTGGGAAATATTTAATATAATATCATGCAAAGAGTAGTGGATGTGGAATCAGGAGAAAGGGGCTTTAGTCTCAGATCAGCCCTTAATTAGGTTGATGCCTTTGTGATCTTCACCTCTCTGGTTCTCTGTTTTTCAACCTATAAAATAGAGGAGGTTGGGTCATATGAGCTATTGGGTCTTTTTCAGCTCTCAAAATCTAGGTTAATATGACTTTATAAAATACGTTGGGGTATTTCATAAAGAAAACATAAAAATCCTCAACAGTTCATTGACTAGACATAATCATCATTACCATTTATGCATGTTTCTTCTGTTTAAATCCCTATCTTTTCATATGTATATTCTTACTCATAAATCATATATGTAATATATGGACATAAACAGTTTTGCATTCTGCTTTTTAATTATATCAAAAACATTTTCCTCATGTCATCAAAACAATTGGTGTGCTGAAAATTACTTAAACCTTTCCTAAGTGGTGCATTCAAACTAATTCTATGATTTTTTTAACTACTATTATTATTTTTTAATTGCAGCGTCATACATTGGGTTTGGCAATATGCACAGCTTTCCCATTGGAATGGGCTTTTCCTTTGGGAGGTTCATTAACCAGTTATCCTACAACACAACAGTAATCTTCATCATAAAATGAGTTAACTGCCTGTATGAGAGAACCATGTAGTATCTTTCCAGGATATGCTGAGCTATTTATAAATATTAAATAAAAATTTTTATATTGGTTCTGAGTACTCCTTCCTTTTCGCCTCTTCTCAGGAAGTACAGCAAATTGAAAAGTGGTTCTTTGCAATTTGGATTGGAAATGCAAGTGTTCTAGGAGATGAAAAACTGAGGTCGTGTCCAGGAGGCCACTGAGTTAATACAATAAACAACTGACTACAATAAGTGCTGTAGATTACTTATGAGTTGTATAGATCATTTCTGGATTCCACTTAGCCAGATCAGCTCTGCACTAATTAACATTCTGGAAGATGATTGGTATAAAGACCTGTCTCTCTATGACTACCACAGTAAATGTGTGATCTTATATATACATTCTCTAAAATCACCTGAGATGATGATATAATACAGTCCCCACTTCCATGTATCCCAGTGACTCCAGGAATTTTAAAACTCCTCCTGCGGCAATGTCAGCCTATTGTTTCTTCCCTGGTCCCTACTAGAATTAGCAGAGTTGCTTGGTGAAACTCTAAGTTAATATATTCATTTATATGAGACTACTTAGAATGTATTTATTCCTCTTCTCAAACCTCTCTTCTCAAGATTATCATCCTCTTGCCTTTCCTCCCAAAAATTGTCTCCCAAGTGTTGAACCACCTCGCTGTATGGTGAACAGTTGCATAAACGCGCCAAAAAAGAAACAGAGTTAACTTAAATCTTAGACGGTTTCAAATTATGTGAGACCCAGCTTGACAGGAGGAACGCTGGAGCAAATTTAACTCATGTTTTACCCTTTTGTAACCAGACATGCAGGTTCCCACCATTGAGAAATCCCATAGTAGTCCCGGTAGCTCGAAATCCTCATCCGAAGGCCATCTCCGCTCTCATGGACCATCTCGCAGTCAAAGCAAAACCAGCGTCACTCAGACCCACTTGGAAGATGCAGGGGCTGCTATAGCCGCTGCCGAAGCCGCCGTGCAACAACTCCGCCTTCAACCAAGTAAAAGACGCAAATAAATTCCTCAGCATGGCAGCTTAATGTTCATCTGTTGCCTTTCTTTCCTGCTGTCCTTCCCCATTTGCTTTGTTTTGTGCTTTCCTTGCTCCCTCTGTTCTCTGTCCCTTTGTCTGTGTAGGAACAGTATCGATACATAAATATGCTCTCTCTCATTTAGTTCTTTTTTGTTTTACTTTACATAGAACGAAATAAAACTGGCTGTTTCTCCTTTGTCTCCACCATCCATCCAACCTGGCTCATAGTATTTGGTAGCTGTGTCTGTGATGTGTGCAGGCAAAACTATGTTGTGTGTCCTTTTTGTGTGCACTTAAATATCCTTTAGAATACAGGAATTATAAGCACAAGTGGCTGCCAGTTTTCCAGGCATTACACCAAAAAAAGGCACACACATAAGCATTTTGAGCAGATTAGCAATGAGAGTCTCACCTCTGAAAAACACTAAAAAATTTTAGGCAGAAGAGTCATGTAACCAACAGTCAAGTTCTAGAACCTAGGGGAAATGGAAAAAACATTTTACGCTTAAAATTTTTAATAAATTATGCATGTGAAATAATGAGGCTTTCCACGTGAGAAACTTTGTAGTCTTTTGGAGAAAAAAAAAATCTGTAAAGAAAATAATGTTTCCTATATTCTCAAAAAAGTATGTAGTATTAATATATGTCTAAGCATATTCGATGAGGCCATGTTACCTCATTAAGGAGCACAGTGGGATCCATTCTGTTGGATCACACTTTGTATATGATACAAGAGAATTTATAGGGTTATTCTTCTTTCTAACCACTGGAAATCATTTGGAAGCCAAGATATCAACTAAAGCGTAACAATTCATCCATCTTAACTGCTGTAATTTCAATTGATAGAATTATATAAGAACTTAGTGAGTACAGACACTTTAAAAATGTAGGGGCACTGTTACTTCCAAGAGGCATCTGGCAAACAACGGAGATAGATGAATGTTCTCCCCATCTCCCAAAGTCATCATTTCCAAAGAAACAGCCAGTTTTAACCCCCTTTAGTGCTGTGCATGTGGTGTCATTTTGGCATTTGAAAACACAACTTCCTTCGATAGAGCAAAAGATCACTTCTGTTTGCATGAATAACATTCAAGCTGGTTCCATCTGAGGATACATACTCTGGGTTTCCATTTCACCCACACTACCACAGCAGCACATAAAAGCGGTCAGTCTAATCATGCCAGGAAGCAGCACAGACACAGCATAGCAGGAGTCCTCCCCATTCAAAGAACTCAGTCTGATAATCTGCCTCCACCAGCTAATGGCAACCAAGACCAAAGCCAGCTAGCCCTCAGGAAGGTGATGTCTGATGGACCAGTCAAGCCAGAAGGAGGTGAGCAGAAAGGCGCTATTCAAAGCACACAGCAAGAACATCCCCCAAATTTAAAGCCCTCATCTTTTAATTTTTAGAGATTGTCTGATAAAGTATGTTTATCCACTTTTTAATGTGCTTTTGTGGGCATGGCATTTCAGGACTTCATCATCACTGTGTAAGTCCCAAGATGAGTCCCATAATATATCGACTACAGTGATTTGTATTTTTCTATGCACTGGGCATCTTTTGACTTTTGTTGGGAAATAGATTAACAGTATTCATATTGCAGAATGGAACGCATGCTACTAACATAATCTGTTCAAGCATGACTATAAATATGTTGCACTGTGATAAAAGTTTAAACTGCTCACAATTCGAGTTAGCATACCAGTTGGAATGTAGATCAGTTTTTGTTGAATATTATTTCAAGTGTAACTTTTTAAAAAAATTCAGTGGATTTTGGAAATCTTAGAGGAAAGTAAAGGAAAAAATTGTTAATGCACTCATTCACCTTTACATGGTGAAAGTTCTTTCTTGATCCTACGAACACATTTTTTCCACTCATGTTTCCATAGTTTTCAAGTGTATCAGATGTGTTGGGCATGTGAATATCCAAGTGCCTGTGTAATAAATAAAGTATCTTTATTTCATTCATAAACCACTGGGTTCTGAGCCATTGTTATATGATGCAGCTTAAAATGAGTGTGTCAGTTTTTGCTTTCTCATTTGATTCCTTGCAATAGAGAATTTAAAGTTACTGCTTCGTTGCCAGTGCAAGCTATAATGATAGAATATTGAGTTGCAGGACAAAGTTTCATGTCGGAAACATAAGATAAATGGGGAGTTATTACCAAATAAAAGTACCAGAGCTTACATAAACATGTAAATAAATAATGGGTTTGGGCTACTCTAGGCAATGCTTCCACTCTTCCTTTCTTGCACGTCTGATCTACTTCACAATCTTCTCAGCTTTCCGGATAAAGGAAGACAAATCCAATGAGTCTTGCTCCAGACAGGCACCTAGACTTGATCCATGGCTTTGTTAGGAAGGAAAGCAAGTTAATATCTGTCCCTAACTTGACACCAACAATTTGTGGAATTTTCCCCAAGAAAGAATGCCACTCACTGCCAGTGACAGGGATCAAACCAGGGTGATTATAAAATTATCTTCATTGTAATTCAAATTTAAATTTAATTTTAATTCAAAAACATATATCAAAGAAAGGATAAAAAAAAACGATAGCAGTGTTTGCTCCCTTAAGTCCCTTCCAGCCGTAAAACACTTGATTCTATGATTCTGTACTTTCCACAAACTAAAATTAAGACTTGTACTTTCCTATTGCATTTCTCTGTATTCTCAGAAATTTTTAAAATTTAATATGCTTTTGTCCCAACTAATCAGACATTTAGGAGCAATGGAGGTTGTATGTGGCAGTACAAAGGCCAAACCACTGTGATGTTCCTTGAATTAGCAGGCAATTAAGGAAACAGCTTAAATATTAAGATAATTGTGAATATGCATTTACTCAGCCCAGTTTATAGACTATCACCAAAGCAGTTTCCCTTTTCTAGTTGGCCTTCCTAGTACTGTCCAAGAGTACTTAAAATTCCACCTCTCACCTTTTTTTCCATCAAATAAGTTCAGTTGATTTCTTCCTTCATTTTCTTACCGCAAATATTTAATAATTGTAAATGTCACAGTAGTCAAATGCTTCTCTTATTTCACTCTATTTTTAATTATCATGATTTAAGTATTCCTATGATAGTTTGTCCTAGTTTTCCTAGATGTGGGTCTTAAAATTTGCAGCAAAATGCATTTAACTCCCTTTCTTTGAATAATGCTCTAATGGATATTCTCATACATTTAGAATAGTTCTTCACATTGTGCAAAGTGTTTCATCACCCATTTTCTCATTTTGTCACACCTAGTGGGTGAGGGATTCGTTGCAGATATTTTCATTTCTGTTTTCTGAGTGAGCCATCAGAGAGTCGGGGTGTGCGTGTGGCAGCATGACTGGTGAAGAACACATACCTGGAAATTGTCAGAATCGGCAATCTAACCCTTGTTTATGACCGCACGTAATAAGCCTTTGCTTTTTAAATACATTGGCACCTTTGAAATCAAACCCTCCTGATTTCACTAAAAACAATTGTCATTTACTTATTTGCTATTTACACTCCAGTCCTTACAAATGATTAGAGGTTGCTAGAAATTATGGCGGAATACAATTTAGACTTGGTCTACCTACTTGATCCTCTTTTCTGAAGGCTGATAATTAAACTGCCACAAATCAGGGAAGTAAAACCTTCCCACTGCACAAGCCGAGTGCAGCAGTAAGCAGGCTCTGTAGAGGAGGCGGTGTGTACATCTGCAGTCATTGCTATCAAGGGTGACGAAATTGTCCCTAAAGAGCTTTTCATATATATATATATATATATATATATATAAGGTCCGTTTTTTTTTTTTTTTTTTTTTGGTGAGCTTTTCAGCGGGTTTCTGCTTGAAGTAGCAGAAAATATGGGTCAGGTAAGAATTATGGAGTAAGAAAGGAGGAACTTTTTCTCTCCCTCCAGGGTTTAGTTGCATGCTAGGAAACCTGAAGGACAGGATTTAGACAGATTGTGCCAGGTCATCCTGACACCTAAACAACTCTCCATTTGTATTTAGAAATCCCTCGAAATGTTTTTTTCCAAGCCAGTTGGTTTGGTGGAATATAGGCCCGGCTGTTTTAGAAGGTAACGCCAACCAGGGAAAAGAGTTTCAAAATAGGTTGTTTTTTAAAACCATACCCAAACTAAAACAAATTGAAGTATTTTTACAACCTTGAAAATTAATTTAGTTGCTATGGAATATATTACATATTATATATATATATACATATATATATATATATATATGTATATATATATATATATAAAGGGCATTTTTAAATTCCTGAGCTGTTTTTGTTTGATCTGAGATTTTAGGTAAGCTTTAAGTTTAGAAACACTCATGCAGGATAGATAGAAGTATCCCTCCACCCTGGGCAGTAAGATGAGAGCTTGGAGAGGTTAGTAAGAAGATGAATCATTGACTGAGTTGTGTGAGGAACTATGACTGAAGGTCCCTTGTTGTGGCCGAATTGTAGGAGAAGGTCCTGAAGCTACTTCCACAGACCGCTGCTGGAAACTCCACTTTCCGTAAGGCTCCTTTGCGGCACCTGTCAAAGAAGAGTTTCCTATCCATATTGCCGTGGTGAACTCTGACTAAGCCATCTCTCTGTGAGAGCTGCTGTCTTGGGCAAGTGGTATGGGTGGCTGGGTTGGGAAACAGGGCGGGCACTGGGAGTGGAGAGAAGTGTTGGTTACAAAGGCAGTAGTTGATCAGTGGTCCATTCTGTTCTGACCCGAAGCAGATGGTCACTTTTGATCAGAAAGAATTTGGTGTTCTCTGTTTCTGGAAAGGAGAGGGTTCAAAAGGAAAGAAATCAGAATGAGATCATTTGGAGGTGAAGTCTTCTGGAATGTGTGTAAGAGGTTAATAGAAACAGACTTAACATTCCTCATTTCAATGTGTTTGTGCAAAGAAAAGAAAGGCAGCAAAGCTTTAAAAAGGAAACTTTGCATAGTTTAAAATAGAAAGAAAACAAACTGTAATGATGTGAACACAGCAAATAGCCAGCAAAAATCTGAGAGCATCAAATTGGATTTCAGCTTTCAAAGTTTTCTGCCTGTTTCTCTGGGGGCAAGGGTTGTATTTCTTTGTTGTCTCTGAAAATCAAAGTGTTCTTCTAAAGTTCTGGGTTTTTAAGAGTTTCCATATTTTCTTAGAAAGATTGGTTATGCATTTTCAAATCTTTCTATAGTCATTTAATATTCATTGCCAGAAATATCTCTGCTGCACATGCAGAGGCACAGACAGTAAATATATAGCTCTGAACATATGACACTGTCTCTTGTTTGTGCACCTTCCCTCCCAAAGGTGAATTCACTGACGTATCATCAATGGATACTTTTGTTCTTTTCTAGTAGTAGCCATGAGTGTGTCAAGCCATCCACGTAAGGAATTACTGGTTCATACTGCAGTGTGCCTTTGTCGCGTGATCTAACCAGGGGCCTATATGATTGAGCGGGACTATTAATACATGATCCGAGAAGAGAAAGGCCTAATTTTTAACATGTCAAAGTGCCTTAAATGCTATTTATGACATGTCTTTAACAAAGTTAAACTTATTTTTTGATTGCAAATTATTGTATTTTAGGTTTAAACAAATTTATTTTTAAAAAGTTAATTTACCAAATTACCAGCAGAGAGCAGGACCCAGAGCCAATGAGACAGGCAAGTAAATGCTGATGGAGGAAAGAAATGAGAAGCATGGAAGATGAGAAGGCTGATGGGGACACTGCGGGACCATGGACAGAGGGTACAATCTGAGCTTGGGGCTGGGAACGTTATCGCCTGGGTAGGAAGGATCCTGGAACTGGGTGAAGTGCCACCTGGGGAGAGGCAGAAGAATGCCAAAAGCTAATAGCTTAAGCTAAAGCTTAATAATAGCTAAATTAATAGCTAAAGCTTAATAGCTAAAGCTTAACGACATTGCCTAATTCCAGATATCTATCCATGAATTACTTGATTTTTTTCCCACTTTTCATCCGAATGTACTACATTATGTAAAATCATGATATTTCACCCATTCTCTGTTGTGCAAGATAATCTTTGGGAGGGAGGGGGACATATGGGGATGGGATAAGGATGAAAGGAATCTTTATGTATAATGAGTCAGACCGTGAAAAATAGCCTTTTTATTTTATTACTTTGTTGAGTCTGTAAATATATATTTTAATCATTGAGGTGACAAAAAAAACTTTCGGATTTCAAATGAAAACATTTCCGCAATATTTTGATTGGGGTATTACGGTTTTCAGATGTATAAAGAGAAATAATGTAGATAGAACCATAGCTTTATACCTCAATGTGTTTTAAAATACTGAAAGCTAAAATTAATTAAATGATCATTTGAACAGAAACTAATCAAAATATTAATAATACAAATCAAACAAGAACAGATAAGTTTTTAAGAAGAAAATGTTTGATGAAAATCAGGAGTTAGGAATTCGCTGGTGGTCCAGTGGTTATGACTCCACACTCTCAACTGCCAGGGGCCCGGGTTCAATCCCTGGTTGGGAAGCTAAGATCCCACAAGCCTCAAAGTGCAGCCAAAAAAAAAAAAAAAAATTAGAGAAAATGTCAGGAGGTAGGTCCCTATTTCTAAACATAAGAAACAAAATGGAATAAAATTTCTACTTCTACTTTATTCTTAAAAGAACACAGAAGCAAAATCTACTTTTCCTCATTAAGACATTTGAAACTAAAAACCACATTATTTTAAGTTCTATAGATCACATTTTTTTTTCAGAGATCTTATAGCTTTTATTTTTATTTAAAAAAATTTTTGAAGTATAGTTGATTTACAATGTTGTGTTAGTTTCTGGTATACAGCAAAGTGATTCAGTTATACATACTGGTCACATTATATTTTTATCTGACTCTTTAGGTAAAATGAGGTCGGAATCTAGAGAGAGAGAAAATGTAATTTTTATACTACACAATTCAAATTTCTTTCTATATGGATATATTTATACTTTCTATATATACTTT